GTTCGAAAAAAATTCCTCGCTGCTTTTTTCACACGGGACGTAGCCGTCGTCGGTCACGTGACGACGCGTCGTCGTAACGGATCGTGGGTGAAGGATCGGACGCGAAACGCAATTTAACAGGGTGACGGTCGCGACGGGCCTTTCGATACTTTCTCTTGCGTGGTCCATCAAAATTCTTCCGCCGTGTTTAGCCACGCACGAGTCGTTCGAACCTGTACACGCACCGGCCAAACCGGAAAACCGTGCCCGTAATCGACGATATCCGCTCGCAATTCAGATACCCGTTCCTGGATGGAACGCGCACAGCGCGTAGACGGATTTTCAGTAAGAGACTGCTATAAGATGAAGGAAATTACGAGATGCCCGCGCTTCCTGGACGATAAAAAATAATTGTCATGCGCGAGAAGGATTGCATTAGTCATGCACCTGGAAACTCGTTCGTGGGAGTCGTAGCATCGCGCTCAATGAGAGAGACGTGGATATAATTATAGAGGAGCGTAACGAATTTTTTTTACCAAGGAATCGCGCGTTGCCTTGATGAAGATTTTTTTTTTTTTTTCAGAATAAGGAAGAGATTTCCGTGAAATAAATTAGACGACGTTAAAAATGTTAAATTTTTGTACCGCGTAATTGAGGAAAATAATAATAGAGAATAATAGGAACCTCTGCTCGTTCTCCCGATTACTTATTAATTTAGGCAAAATTTATGAAACAAAATTTTCAAAAGTGGAAAATTTCAAAAGTGTTAAAATTCTACTCGCTCGAAAAAAATATCATTTTATCATTTACGATCTTTACGAGGAATTATACGAATAATACAAATCGGACGGTAAGGTAATCGGTCGATCTTATGCATCCAAGCTTTCACTCGTTCTTATTTAAGAAATGTTTACAACAAAAGTATCCACGCCCGAGGCGTGGACCAAGTTGAAACACGTCGTAATTGTCTTTTTTTCCCTTGAAAACCGACATTTCGATCAAATTATATAAGGTGGTTTTATCCAAGCCATAACGAGAGAGGAAGATTTCTTGGGCGCGCGCGTGGAAGACCGTTCGAAGGTCTTTCTCGGAAAGTAAACATTCGAGATCGATTCGGCGACGAAATTCACGCAACTTGAGAAAACGTTTCTCGAGCAGCCTCGTTTCGAATTCGATCGATCCACGAGAGAAATAGGAGCGAAGCGTTTTCTTTCTTTCATCGAGAATCGTCGGTGGTTTAATTCGATGGAGGATAAGATTAAAACGATGGCGGAATCGGGAAGATGACGCGGTTCTTATCTAACCGAGACGCGACGGGAGACGAGACAGGAGCAATTCAACCATCAGTCACGTATAAATTTTTGTAGGAAACCAGGCCCGCGTGTTTTTTCACTCCTCGCTATCCGACTCTCCTCCACCTGCGAAGAAATTTGATTTCCTAGACGTTGCTTATACCGCGCTATACGACGGTTCGACAGAAGCTGCGGAGAAAGATGAAACGCGAATCCGCGTCCTTGATCTACATCTACGCGGCAAGAAATTCTCCTCAAAATAATTATCTCCCCTTTTTTCTTTTATATCTCCCATCGTCGTCGTCGTTTCCTTCCTTCCTTATACACATTGTATGAATTTCAGGGAATTTGTTTCTAAGAACACGAATAGAATCGAGTTTGTTTCCGAGATAAATCGAGTCGCGTCAAACGAACGATTGACGTACGCTCCCGCCACTCACGCGCAATTTACATTTTTCGAAGCGATTTCGATTCCGTCCAACTGTCTACGGCCTTGATAATTCCGCACACCTCCTCTATTTTCCTGCTCTACGTAGTAGAAGTTAAGCAAGCCAGTTTTAGGTTCCTGGCACACCGCCAAACTCGATGAGAATAGCGAAATCCGAACAGCATAACTTGTGGATAAACATCGGCGTTACGGATGCTACAGGCAAAGGCGGGGCGTTGTTCTTCCCGCTTCTCGTGGAAATCTCGTCTCGAGGAACTCTGGTTGGAACTCTGGTGGGTCCTTCCATGAAATTCCCTGAAAATTTACCACGATCCGGAATCAATTATCAACGCCTTTTCTCGAAAAGAAAGAGAGTTTGGAATTCAGAATTCGAGAAAAATACGGGAGGCTGAGAAGGAGGCGATCGGGACAGGAAGATAAAAAGGAAAAAAAAAAAGAAGAAAAAAAAAAAAAAA